AGATGATTCTCATCATTCTACTTTTCACACTTGTTCCTGGTTCATATATTCCCCTTTAGATCATTTATTTTTTTCCATATTTTGTTTTATTGCATTTCTTCACATTTATTAGTTTCCTCTCTCTCTTTCCTCTCCCCAGCTTCCTCCCTTTGGTGTTCGGCTTTTAAAACTCCAGTCGGCTCCTGGTTCCTTGCGGTTTCAAGCAGGTGAATTGAACAGATTCATTACTGACATTATCATTGAATATGCTTGCACACATGTATTAACCCAGGACAAAACAAGCAGCTATGCTTCCTTTTCACACCCTCGGTCTGCCACGAGTCGAAACATAAACCAATAACCGCAAAAGTCGTAAAATTCAATTTAATAATTTTTTTTTTTTTTTGCAAAGGAAACACCGACAGGTTGTGTGGCCTTGCACAATCGTTTAATACAAATAATACTAAGCTAAATTCCAACTAAAAGTAGCAACTCAGCTTGAACGTACCACTTTGATGACATATGAAGCACCATTCCCAACAGCTTTGGAAGAATTTTCATCAGCTTTGGGAAAAAAAATAAAAAGTAAAACTAAAAAAGGTATTCAACTCTGCAGCATTTATTTCAAGGTAAACATCCTAAAATACTAATCATGGTCATTTTTAATCAAAAGGAGTATAAATAACCCAGGTTTGAGATTTGTGGTCCAAATTAATTCCTAAACAACAAGAATTTTAAATTGGGCATTTTGGTTTCCCACGGTAACACTTTGGAGCATTGACAGATCGGGCCATCTTTCTGCATGCACGCACTGACCTGGTCAACCACAACAACTCGCATTCATATAGCGCCCTTCACGTGAGGTCGTGTCCCAAAGCGCTTGAAATAAGTGTAACCAGAAAGGGAGGCTTCGATGAGGGATTGCCAGGTTTCCGTGAGCCCGAGAATGTCGATTTGCTTTTCCAGGATGAGGTCATGGATTGTAAGAGCTGTATTTGAGTCGTGCCCAGTTATAACGCTGGTGGGAATTTTACAGATCTAAACTACCGAGCTTGTAACAAACAGGGACGGCTCTAATATAATATAAAGAAAGCACAAAGGGTGCCTGAATTCACTTGGGTTTCAATTATGTATTCCCGGGAGTAAAAGTGAAAATACACTTTCTTACGATCTTTGCAGAGGACCGTAGAATGTGTTCAAACTGCAGGAATATGTATGAAGCAGGCCATCAGTAATATAATTGGACCCTTTGACGACCACAGAATATTTTTCTATTGCAACTTTATGCTTCTGGCATTTTAGAGCAGTAAATCAGAACATTATATTCGACATTATGTCATTCACGGTCTATGAATCATTACTCAAGATCTATCTATGACCTGCATAAGAAGAGTGTATATTTACCCAAGTATAAGAGACCGAATCCACCCTTGCCTATGGGCATTCCTATTTTCCACTGCTTTTTACCAGTGTCAGTCAGCACCTCCCCTGGTTTCATTTCCTCTGCCATTTTCCTTTTGGGTGGAGCCCTTGCTTTGGCACCCGCTGACTTGGATTTAGGAGGCATCTGGAATCAAAAAAAGAAAATAGTATTTAAAAATAAAACAAATGCACAAGTTTTCACAATCTTAATTCCATGCTTTCTATAGCACAAATGACACTGATTTCCATCTTCGTGACAAAGCAACTAACTGCTTACTCGCCAACTCCTCACAAGTCAAGATTCAGTTACAGGCCTGATAAGGAATAATGACTCAAAGATAATATAGTATTTATATTCCGACATGCTATACTGGTTGATTAAAATGAATGTCTTTTTTTTGGTTTGTTTTCCTGTCACTTTCAATTTGTTTAAAACGTTAAAGAGTTGATGACATTGGGAAACAAACAAGGAGATGGTCATAGACGTGAGATTGCCTCTTTCTATACCTGGGCTGTACTCACCTCATTTAACACAAATTTTGCCAAACAAAGTATTGCTTATTATGTTCATCGCAGCAGGATGGGAAGGACAAAAAAAAATATTTTGAAACAGACTACAACAAAATTACATGTGTGTAGTGCCTTTCACGTCAGGACGTCCCAAGGTGCTGGACAATCAGTATTTCAGACTCGAGGTGGGGGTCGGGATCGGGGAGGGTGGAGGGCAGATGGGCAGGAGGGTGATTGAAGGCACGGTCGAAGAGGAGGGTCTTGAAATCGGTCTTGAAGGAGGCAAGAAAGGAGGCGAGGCAGAGGGTCTGCAGAATGGTGTTCCATAGGGTGGGGGCAGAGTGGCTGAAGGCCCTCCTGCCAATGGTGGGGCGGGCGAGGCGGGGGACGCGTTTAGATCAGAGATGCTTTCCTCTCTAAAAAGCAACTCTGGAGTAAAGTATTTCTTTATTAAAGTTCTAATAAGCAAACCGATTTTTCTCCAGCTGTGTCCATAGGACACAACACAAAATAGTAAATTGTGTGAATCATAATGACAACAACAAATTGCATTACATAGCGTCCTTCCCTTGGATAATGTCAAAGTGCTGTTGAAAGGTTTTCTCTCTTCCCCCTCCTACCCTCTCCCTCCCGCCCCCACCACACTTACACACACACACACATATAATACAAGTAAAAATAATTTGAACAAGTGCATAACCCACATAAACATCATTTAGGAAATCAAATCACCTCCAGCCCAGTAAATACAGTACATCATCATAAAACAAAATCAAGGAATTTAGTTGTCATACAGTACGAGTTTCAGAAACCTGTAGTGATCAAAAACCACAACATTGTTATACCCTCAAAAACAGCCCAGCGCAAGTTAACATGTGTTTGGCATTTTATAATTTAAAAGCAGAACAAACCTTTCGACTTCTCCAAAACCCATGAGCTACAGGAGGCACATAGACAAACCTTACATCAAGGTGATGTCATCTAGACAGCTATAATGCACATTGTGAGCATGTGGGCACAAATCTCGCAGGGTAACTGTCCACCTGAGACAGATGAGATGTGCTTCTCCAATTGCTTGGCATGTACGCTGCTTATTTTAACAGCAATCGAAAACTAATCTTAAGTAGTTTCCAACTCATTTTAACGCCAAGATCTTCGAGTCATTTCAAGTTATCCTTTATATAGTGCAACCAACCCTGTTATTAGAGCGCCCACCGATATGGCACTGCCTCACTTATACGACCCTTCTAATGAGGACAGCTGAAGGCAGTCCATAAGGGAAATGGGATGTTAGCCTTTACGTAGATCTGCAATGTAAAAAGTGCTGCTCCAGTTATGTAGAGTTGGGTAAACGTACTGTGTTCAGTTTTTGGGAATCCAATGTTGTTGCTGTTATTATTAATGTTAGAACGGATAGACGAGCCTTTGCAGGGTGTCCAGTGATGGTTGACGGGATTAATACATGGGCTGAAGGGGCTAAACAATTATGATTGGCTGGGTAGACTAGGGTTATACGCCTTGGAGCAGGAGTTCAAGAGTGATTTGATTGAGGTATTTAAAGTAAAGGAATTAACAAGGTAGACAGTGGATCACTCTTCCCTCCTGTACAGGGATTATTATGGAGGGGCACAGCACAACTGAGGTCACAAAATATCTCTTCACGTAAAGAATATCAATCAAACGCAAGGATTATTATTATTATTATCCTTCATATAGAGTAATGGAGAAAGCGGTTTGCAACGGATGAGAGAGACGGTAAGAGATTGAAAGTTTGTGAAATATACTTAAGAATTGATTTCAGAAATTAAGAATCGACGATAGTTGAAACACTCTCTGCATTACAATATTCTATCAAAAAGCAATAGAAACATCAACTCAAATCACCTCTGACCAGGCCCTACAGGCACTTCCTGCAGGAACGCTTGACTATATAAGTTAAACAGTAAAATAGTCCTTGCATTTACCAGAATTTGTTGCAACTCGTTTTAAAAGCGGTATCAACAATAATCACATATTTTTATATAATAATCCTTGCATTGGATTTAGCGCCTCATCACGTCTTTGAGACGTCTCAAAGCCCTTCACAGGATATACTGTAAAGTGAATTGACTGTGTATTTTGTGGGTGAAACGCGGCAGCCGATTGCGCACAGCAGCGTCCCCACAAACAGCCGTGGACTGAAGTGACCAATTCATTATTATTTTTGAAGGGATTATTACCCCCGGAAAAGCGATCCGCCAATCGACTAACAACCGGGTTCCTACTTACTGCCGGGTGAACACAGGCGCGTGTGGAGTAAGGAAACCTGCCCAACCTGTCGCCCCGATCGGGAATCGAACCCGGGTCCTCTCGCTTTCTACAGAAAAGGCAAAACAAAAGCCATTTGAAAAAAAAAAAACACCCCACACAATGCCGAGTGCGCTGGAGTGAACCAGAGGCAATGAGTGAGAGGCCAAAGGGATCGGAACCAGGTTATTTCCAGCAGATCCTGTTATACTCGTGGAACGAGGTTCCAAACCGCCTCTCAATCGACCTATCGCTGGAAATGTCCAAACCGAGGTGGGAACGCAGGGAATTCTCGGCTCGGTTCGGATACCCTTTTTTAAAGCACGGCGACAGGTTTCCGCGCAGGTGTCGAGGCGTCATACATAACATATAATAATAATCCCGGCATTTGATGCCGCGCCTCATCGCGCCTTCGAGACGTCTCAAAAGCGGTCTATCCCCGTGAAGCGAATTGACCGTATTATTCTGTGGGCGAAACCCGGCCGCCAACTGCGCGCAGCAGCGTCCCCGCAAACAGCCGTGGACTGAGGGTGACTCGTTTATTATTGTTTCTTTTGTGGGGGGGGGTTTATTATCAGGCGCGGGGAGTAGGGACACTTGCCCGAGGTGTGCCCCCCCCACCCCCGGGAATGGAACCCAAGTGTCTCGCTCGCGAAGGGAGCGCTCTGTCACCACTGAGCTACGGGGCTCCAGGACTCTGACGATAACGACAGTCCTTGTATTTGGTATATAGCGCCCGGAGACGCAGCCGCTTCGCAACGCCCTCCGTCCGCGAAGCGCCTCCAGACGCCTGTCTGGGAGGGCGTGACCCCGGGCGCTCTGTCAGACGTCTGACCCTCACACTCTCTCTCTCTCTCTCTGTCCGTCTCTCATTGATGATTACTATATTCCGATCCGAGTCGTCGAGACGTCTCAAAGCCCTTCACGGAAATGTACCGTAAAAACGCACTCACTGTGCGGTTTGGGGTCAGATTTTCCGCACAGAGACCTCCAACGGGAAGAGGTGCGATTGGAAAAGATACCTCTACACCATCATCATCATCACCACCATCATCATCATCACCATCATCACCACCATCATCATCATCACCACCATCATCATCATCATCATCACCACCATCATCATCACAGAGTAACTGACCCCCACCCTCACCCCCACTGACTCACCTACAGAGCCCCCCATGGCCCCCCCCCGCCCCCTCCCCCCCCCCGCACAGCACTGGCGGGAGGGCCTTCAGCCACTCTGCCCCCAACCTCCGGAGTCCCCCCCCCCCCGGGCCGGGCCCTGACTCACGGTGGCTCAGGCTCGGGCCCTCCTCCTGCACTGTCGGGGCCGCTCCGCTCCGCTCCGCTCACAGGGCCGCACAGTCACTGCTACAGACCTCAGGCCTCGGGCCTCGGGCCCGGGGGGGGGGAGGGGGGGAGGGGGAGTGACGGGGGGGGGAGGGGGGCACCGCGGGACTCTCTCTGTTTTTTTTCTATTTCTCTTCCTGTTACTGTGTTACACTCTCTCTCTCTCTATTTCTCTCTCTATGTTCCTTTTCTTCTGTCTCTCACTCTCTCTGTCTCTCTCTGTCTGTTTGACTCTCACTCTCTGTCTATCTGTCTGTCTGTCTGACTCTCACTCTCTCTGTCTCTCACACTCTCTGTCTCTCACTCTCTCTCTATCTCTATCTCTCTCTCTCTGTCTCTCTCTCTCACTCTCTCTGTTTGTCTCTCTCTCTCTGTCTCTCTCTCTCACTCTCTCTGTTTGTCTCTCTCTCTCTGTCTCTCTCTCTCCCTCTCTCTGTTTGTCTCTCTCTCTCCCTCTCTCTGTCTGTCTCTCTGTCTCTCACACTCTTTCCCTCTTTTTTTCTCTCTTTCTACACTTCCAAAATTGGCGCACAAACCGCCGCCGTCAGCCCCGCCCCCACCGCACTGACGTCATCAGCAACAGCCGCGGATGTTGGCCCCGAGAGGCTCCGCCCCCAACAATTGTCGCGCGATTTCTCCCCATATGGCGGGAAATTCAAACCCACAGTCACCCCCACACTGACCCCCCATCACACTGACCCCCCCCACTGACCCCCCCACACTGATCCCCCCCACACTGACCCCCCCCACACTGACCCCCCACATGACCCCCCACACTGACCCCCCCCCACACTGACCCCCACACACTGACCCCCCCCACACTCCCCCCACACTGACCCCCCACAGCCCCCCCACACTGACCCCCCACACACCCCCACACTGACCCCCCCCCACACTGACCCCCCCACACTGCACCCCCACACACTGACCCCCCCACACTGACCCCCCACACACTCACCCCACACTGACCCCCCACACTGACCCCCCCACTGACCCCCACAGTCACCCCCACACTGACCCCCCACTACCACACTGACCCCCCCCCACTACCCCTGACCCCCCCACACTGACCCCCCACACTGACCCCCGCACACTGACCCCGGCACACTGACCCCCGCTCACTGACCCCCGCACACTGACCCCCGCACACTGACCCCCGCACACCCCTGCACACTGACCCCGGCACACTGACCCCCCATCACCCCCACACTGACCCCCCCACACTGACCCCCCCACACTGACCCCCCCACACTGACCCCCCCCACACTGACCCCCCCCACACTGACCCCCCCCACACTGACCCCCCCCACACTGACACCCCACACACACTGACCCCCCCACACTGACCCCCCCACACTGACCCCCCCACAGTCACCCCCACACTGACCCCCCCCACACTGACCCCCCCCACAGACCCCCACACTGACCCCCCACACTGACCCCCCACTGACCCCCCCACACTGACCCCCCCACACTGACCCCCCCACACTGACCCCCCACACCCACCTGACCCCCCCACACTGACCCCCCCACACAGTCCCCCCACACTGACCCCCCACACTGACACCCCCCACTGACCCCCACCCTCCTGCCCATCTGCCCTCCACCCTCCCCGATCCCGACCCCCACCTCGAGTCTGAAATACTGATTGTCCAGCACCTTGGGACGTCCTGACGTGAAAGGCACTACACACATGTAATTTTGTTGTAGTCTGTTTCAAAATATTTTTTTTTGTCCTTCCCATCCTGCTGCGATGAACATAATAAGCAATACTTTGTTTGGCAAAATTTGTGTTAAATGAGGTGAGTACAGCCCAGGTATAGAAAGAGGCAATCTCACGTCTATGACCATCTCCTTGTTTGTTTCCCAATGTCATCAACTCTTTAACGTTTTAAACAAATTGAAAGTGACAGGAAAACAAACCAAAAAAAAGACATTCATTTTAATCAACCAGTATAGCATGTCGGAATATAAATACTATATTATCTTTGAGTCATTATTCCTTATCAGGCCTGTAACTGAATCTTGACTTGTGAGGAGTTGGCGAGTAGCAGTTAGTTGCTTTGTCACGAAGATGGAAATCAGTGTCATTTGTGCTATAGAAAGCATGGAATTAAGATTGTGAAAACTTGTGCATTTGTTTTATTTTTAAATACTATTTTCTTTTTTGATTCCAGATGCCTCCTAAATCCAAGTCAGCGGGTGCCAAAGCAAGGGCTCCACCCAAAAGGAAAATGGCAGAGGAAATGAAACCAGGGGAGGTGCTGACTGACACTGGTAAAAAGCAGTGGAAAATAGGAATGCCCATAGGCAAGGGTGGATTCGGTCTCTTATACTTGGGTAAATATACACTCTTCTTATGCAGGTCATAGATAGATCTTGAGTAATGATTCATAGACCGTGAATGACATAATGTCGAATATAATGTTCTGATTTACTGCTCTAAAATGCCAGAAGCATAAAGTTGCAATAGAAAAATATTCTGTGGTCGTCAAAGGGTCCAATTATATTACTGATGGCCTGCTTCATACATATTCCTGCAGTTTGAACACATTCTACGGTCCTCTGCAAAGATCGTAAGAAAGTGTATTTTCACTTTTACTCCCGGGAATACATAATTGAAACCCAAGTGAATTCAGGCACCCTTTGTGCTTTCTTTATATTATATTAGAGCCGTCCCTGTTTGTTACAAGCTCGGTAGTTTAGATCTGTAAAATTCCACCAGCGTTATAACTGGGCACGACTCAAATACAGCTCTTACAATCCATGACCTCATCCTGGAAAAGCAAATCGACATTCTCGGGCTCACGGAAACCTGGCAATCCCTCGTCGAAGCCTCCCTTTCTGGTTACACTTATTTCAAGCGCTTTGGGACACGACCTCACGTGAAGGGCGCTATATGAATGCGAGTTGTTGTGGTTGACCAGGTCAGTGCGTGCATGCAGAAAGATGGCCCGATCTGTCAATGCTCCAAAGTGTTACCGTGGGAAACCAAAATGCCCAATTTAAAATTCTTGTTGTTTAGGAATTAATTTGGACCACAAATCTCAAACCTGGGTTATTTATACTCCTTTTGATTAAAAATGACCATGATTAGTATTTTAGGATGTTTACCTTGAAATAAATGCTGCAGAGTTGAATACCTTTTTTAGTTTTACTTTTTATTTTTTTTCCCAAAGCTGATGAAAATTCTTCCAAAGCTGTTGGGAATGGTGCTTCATATGTCATCAAAGTGGTACGTTCAAGCTGAGTTGCTACTTTTAGTTGGAATTTAGCTTAGTATTATTTGTATTAAACGATTGTGCAAGGCCACACAACCTGTCGGGTGTTTCCTTTGCAAAAAAAAAAAAAAATTATTAAATTGAATTTTATGACTTTTGCGGTTATTGGTTTATGTTTCGACTCGTGGCAGACCGAGGGTGTGAAAAGGAAGCATAGCTGCTTGTTTTGTCCTGGGTTAATGCATGTGTGCAAGCATATTCAATGATAATGTCAGTAATGAATCTGTTCAATTCACCTGCTTGAAACCGCAAGGAACCAGGAGCCGACTGGAGTTTTAAAAGCCGAACACCAAAGGGAGGAAGCTGGGGAGAGGAAAGAGAGAGAGGAAACTAATAAATGTGAAGAAATGCAATAAAACAAAATATGGAAAAAAATAAATGATCTAAAGGGGAAATATATGAACCAGGAACAAGTGTGAAAAGTAGAATGATGAGAATCATCTTGCTTGATCTGATACTTTTGTCCTGTCGCCCCAAAACCTCTCGTCCTCTGTTCTGAAGGATTTACATAAGGTTGACTGGCACCCCTTTTTTTAAAAAAAATAAAGTAATGGGATATACATAGTAGTGGAGGGGGAGGGGGGGCTAAGAAGCAATATCAGTTTAGAACTTTTTTTTGTTATCGCTTTCGTATGCTAACATTGCCATTTTAATTCTCCGAATGCTGTCGTTGTTTTTCAACGGAGAAGAATGTTGGCAATTTGGTTAATTAACTTTGTCTTAGACAAAGACATTGCTAGCATTAACATCTGCATTGATTTCTTACCAATTGAAGGAGCATTTAGGCTTCCCATGAAAACAACAAATTTGAGTCAGCAGTGAGCAGTGCCATTGCTTTTTGACTGATTAATGGTAACGTAAAAAACAGCTAATGGGATGTTTTGCAACTGACAATCAAATTAAAAGCAAAAGGTTCTGCAAAATGAGTTGGTGGAATTAGATGCAAATCAATTTTTTTTATAAATTAGAGAATGGCTGTTCAGGATAATTGCTAAAGCAGCGCTCACTTGTCTCAATATCTTCCTTTTAGCGAACGTGCGAATGAAATGTCAGTGCTGTAATTTGTATATAATTCTATGTCATACATGAGATGGGTGGGGAGGGGGGCCTTTGGAAAATAGAATCTCTTTATTTGGAAAACACGCACCTCGTGGGTGTTTTTCAATGGTGTGAGTTATTACTGGATCACTTCTATATTGCGCTATCTCTTTGCAGTTGTAACTGTGGGTATAACAGTCAAAAGGTGAGATTCCTCTTCTCCCTCCCTACTCCATTCTCTAAAGGTGAGGCATGATACTTGTGCCGCATCCTCAGAGTAAACTGCCAGCTCTTACTTAGTACCTGGAGATCCTGTGTTATAGCCTGGCTCAGTCTGTAACCCACTTGCCTCGGAGTCAGAAGGTCAGGACTTTAATATCAAATGTACTATATCAAATGCAATGATTATTACTTATTCACATGGATCTGATGATGAAAAACTTCTGGACTATTGCAAGACCATTTCTTTCTTGTTGCAAGTCGAGAACTCGTTACAACTCCTGAATTGGCAGCTTCACTCACGCATTCCACGAGAGTGGTTGGTATGGAATCGGCCTTGTGGATTGTCACTCTTGCGCACACTTATCAGTGCAGGCTTATGTTGCTCTTTTACGCACACTTATTAGTGATGCTGTTTTAAATCTGGGATTAAAGTTGGTTCTTGGGAGTACACTTCAATGAGCAGGACTATGCGGTTGACTATGCTGTAAACCTTACTCGAGTTTCCCTAATAACACGGGAGTGCCAAAGTTGAGAACAGATTCCAATCCTGAAGGCTAACACCCCTTTGCCTTCATGGGGACGATCCATCCCCTCAACAAGCTAATGTAGCTTAGCTTTTTTTTGAAAATAAAAGTTTTACTAACTTTGTAATCGCATTCCCCACAAAATTACTTCAAGGATCAGACTTTTAGTAACAGATGTTTTTCCGGCTATTTGGTTGATTTGCTTGATGAGGAAGTATATTCAGCGGTATCCTGCTGTGTCTTTGTTGATCTATTACATATTATACTGTGCTGCTTAAGAATTGCTGAATTCTGCTTCTGTTTTTCTCCGTGTTGCAGCTTTAAGGACACCCCCTCCTACTGTTTTCATGGTTTCTTATTATTTCCAGGAACCCAGTGACAATGGACCACTTTTTTCCGAGCTAAAGTTCTACATGAGAGCAGCAAAGCCCGAGCTAAGTGAGTTACTTTTATTGTGTGTGAAACAAAACTGCAATCTGTGGTGTAGTGTCCCGCTGTGCAAAATCACCCAATCTGGTTTGATATCACAGAACTGCTGAGAATTCTGAGAAATCCTGTTCTCAATTGCCTCTGATATCTACATATATATAAAATGTATATTATAAATATATTAATATATATACTGTATTATATTTAACTCCTTTTTTTTAGAAGGAATCTGTATGCAGGCCTTTCTTTTGATCATCTGGCTGAAATGATGGAGTTTATATTTTGGTTTTTTTTTATAGCTTGATTTAATGCAACATTAGATTTTTAGTTGATCATGTCTCCAGTTTTTTTTTAAAGCATGCAGATTGTATCTGGCTGTTTCTGTGTATATATTGTCTATATTTTCTGCTTGATATGTTTATGTGTATGTAATGTGCTTTTTTGCATTTTGTGATTCGAACTGCCCAAATCTGTGCCTTGGAAAGGAAACGGGCAAAGAGTTTGAAGCAAAGATTGCAGTATATTTTATACTTCTGAGAAGAGAAAAGACTATTTACCTGAATTACTTTAGTCATGAATTAATGTACTTTAAAAAAATTGGTAACTTCAATCCACGACTGTTTGAGGGACGCTGCTGTGTGCAATTGGCTGCCGCATTTCGCCCACAACATATACAGTCAATTCACAATATATTCCGTGAAGCGCTTTGCGACATCTCTAACAACATGATAAGTTGCTATATCAAATATAAGTATTATTGTTAGTCTTTCGGTTCAAACCCAGCAATTAGGGCGCTGCTTAACACGAGACGGCACAATCCGTCCCTGAACATGAATGTCCCACAGTCAATTCACTTCATGGTGTATCCTGTGAAGCGCTTTGAGCCGTCTGGAAGACGTGAGAAGGCGCTATATCAAATGTAAGGTTTATTATTATTACCTAAGCATGAATGTCCCTGCTAGCTGATTGTCATATTTAACTATATTGGAAATTAAAACTTTGTTACTAGTTCTTAGAATGAATATTTCTTACACTTGATGTTGGCTGTGTATTAGGTTTACTGATCCCACTGCATTACAGGAGCCTCAGAAGCAATGTTGCTCTTGTAGAGGGAAGAGGTTATACAAGAACAAAACCATTTCTGTCCTGCAATTTGCAGCACTTCAATTATAAGGTGTCTGGGCATGAAATGCATATGATTCCCTTGGTCCTGTTCCACTCGTACTCTCTCGAGTGATCACTTTCCAGCCTGTACACTCTTGATCCTTGAGTTGCTTTTAGTTCTCCATTACCAAGACATGAATGGGGTTTAGTGTGAGTTGCTGGTGCTGCTCACATTTGTTCCAGCTAGCTGCATCTCCAAGCAAATCAATTTGAAAACTGACAGTCAAAGTGAAAGATGCAAACCAGAATGGGGATAAAGCTGGATGGGAGGGGGATGGAGAGAATGAGACTAGAGCCTGTGTATGATATGTCCAAGACTGTAAGAGTGAAACTGAAAATAAATTATAAATGGGGAGCGAGGGGGGTGAGAGGGGAGGTGAGAGAAATGGGGCGAGTGAAACGTGCCGTTCTTTATCGTGGGTATGAAATTAAATCATTTTGACAAGTTAGATCGTGAATCTGGTGAAACAAAAGTGCCAATTTGAATAGCTCAAAGATTAGATCAACCCCTATTAATTGTAAAAATGGATGATTTTGAAATGCGTTTTCAACATTAGGGTTTTAATCTTTTCCATTTGGCTGTTATTAATTAAGTGGGAATTTCCCTGCTCATCCATATAATTGGATGCATTGTAAAACTAGTAGATGTTCCCAAAGTATTAGAGTAACACAGAAGGAACTAAGGCACTACCATTGTACTACTTTATAACTTAAATTGCCTAAAAGGAATACGGTCCCACAGATAGACAGGATAAAGTAGCTATAACTAACATTAAAATCTTGCTCTTGCAATGAAGCAGAGGTGTGGGAAGCTTTGCAACTATAACCGATTGCAAAAGGCACATTTTCTTAAACTTTTGAAACTCACTGCATTTCTTGTTAAAAGTTTACTATGATTATTTATTGGTGATGCTTCTTACACACTATTCATACCATTGGCTGAGAACATTTCTTCTGTATCTTGCTTGAATTGTATTTTTTTTCTATTAATAATTGCGTTCTTCCCACAACAGTTCAGAGCTGGATAAGTTCTCGGAAGATCAACTACCTCGGTGTGCCCAAATATTGGGGATCTGGATTGTATGCAAAAGGAGGCAAAAGGTATGTATTCTTTGACCCAAACAAATTAAAGCAAATAATACTCCAGGTAAACAAATCAGTCCGGGACACTTTATTGATCAATATACTTTTACAGTATATCCTGTGAAGCGCTTTGAGACGCCTCGAAGACGTGATAAGGTGCTATATCAAATGCAGGGATTATTATTGCACAGCATACAATCAGTGGAACTCTTGTTATAGCTTTTGTACCGGCTCCTGCTCGTCCCTCACACTCTCCGCCCCACTATCGGAGGTCCCGCTTTTAGCCTCTACGCCCCGAAACTCTGGTACACTCCCTCAATCCCTCCGTCTTGCCCCCTCCCCTTTTTCAAGTCCCGCCTGAAAACCTTTCTCTTCGACCGTACTTACGGCCACTTCCTCCCCCCACACCCCCCAACCCTCTGCTCGGAGTCAGGCTCCGCTACTGTTAAGCGCTCTGAGACGCCACCCTGCGTGGAGGCCGCTATATAAGTGCAAGTTGTTGTATTGTTTGAAGCACTGGTATCCCATCTCTTTGGTTTGGCCAACAAAATAAATGTTTCCTGATTGAAGTTTACTTGATTTTTGGATGTTTTGTTATTTTTATAATCACTGCTGATTTAAAGTTTTCGGATGTTGGGAGAGTTGACCAAAAGATTAAGGTAGACTTGTGAGATGGGGAGGTTAAGGTCTCAGGATGAAGTTCCAGAGAACGGTGGAATAATAATAATCCTTGCATTATCACGTCTTTGAGACGTCTCAAAGCGCTTTCACAGGATATACTGTAATTGACTACTTTGTGAGCGAAACAGAATAGTTGATGGTGAAGGAAATGGGGTGTGGAACTTGAAGCAGGCTGATTGGAAGGAGTGGCTGAGGTAGCAGGGTTGTAGGGAGTTATGGGTTGTAGGGTGGGACGAGGCACTGGGGGATTTGAACGCAAGAGTCAACAACAACAACAACTTGCATTATGTAGCGCCCATCACACAGGGTAGCGTCCTGGAATTGTAGATGGGAATGCAGAGATTCCAAACGAGCAAAATCAGTTGCATTCTGGCTGGGATGAATTTGGTTCCCGTTAAGTAAAGTGACCTAAGTGGTGGATTTAAAATCCCCACCCACGGTGCCCTTTGTGCAATGTAACTTGTACAGATGAATCTTTGAATTGCTGTATTTCAAGCTTCAATTCACTCTCTGTGTTCATCTCCAGTTACAGATTCATGGTGATGGATCGATTTGGATCTGACCTTCAGAAAATCTTTGAAAAAAATGGAAGAAAATTCCCACGGAAATTTGTGTTACAGTTAGGCCTTAGATTGGTAAGCTTTAACCCTTCCCTGCCTTGAAGGTATTTCCTTATTAGAATATAATATCCTTGTTTCTTCTACTGAGAACACCGTGCGTGTGTGTGTGTGTAGTGAATTTGTAGAGGGTGTCTGATTATTAATCCTTGGGAAAAGTATTTAGGTTATCAGGGATTGTTTTAAGATTTGCTGTAACAGATGCAAATGTTTTCATAGATTTAAAAATAAAACTTGGTCAGACATGCCAGACTAGGGATTCAATTAGAATTAAGCCCGTATGGTGTTTTTAAATGCAAATCAATATATACTATATATATAAACTGACCTGATATTTTGCGGTATCAATGGAATTTCCTAAATTGTGCCCTTGCATTTGAAGAATCTAATAGCTCTTTTCCAATTGCAATTTAGAGCCGTTTAAACAATTTTTTTTGTTCCTTTTGGACAGATTGACATACTAGAATATATCCATGACCATGAATATGTGCACGGTGACATTAAAGCTTCTAATCTTCTCCTGAGTTACCAGAATCCCAATGAGGTACTTTTTGTTTAAATTTTACATGTATTTCATCCATGGATTATTTCAACAGCTGTCATTTGCAGCACCTATTATTTAGATGACTGGCTCATTTGAACATTCGTTTGTAATTTAACTTTGGTTCAGCGAGATCCTGCTTGACTTCGGGGAAGCTGGAGACATGGTCAGAATCTTCTACACAATCAGTTCCAAAACATCATTAGAAATAGTCTGTCAGCCTCTGCATGATTTCACACAATCTCCACTTGGCAATGACTCGCAGACCCCTTTGGATTTATTGATGGATCCCGGGACTAACGAGGGCAAATTATTGTTATGAATCTGGATCTGATAAATAAAGAACTCTTTCCCCCCACCCCTCATATAAAATACTTTTGCTCCAGAGATCACTTTTCGTTCCTCGTCCCAGATTGTAGAGATGGGTGATGTTCATAGATTCATTGACCATTTGCATAATGTGATAATGTATAAATTTGCAAATAGGCATTCAAATTCAATTGATGGTTGAGGGGCTCCAACACTTAATCTGACCGCTGCTCATGTTTGTTTCTCATCTTCCTAGGTGTATTTAGTTGATTATGGCCTTGCATACAGATACCGCCCTGAAGGAGTACACAAGGAATACAAGGAAGATCCAAGGCGTTGCCACGATGGAACCCTTGAATTTACGAGTATTGATGCACATAATGGAGCAGGTTTGTGAAAATTTGAACTTCACTCAGCTCATCTTCGATCAATAGATTTTACGCTGGATCGATTCATCTTGCTTTGCTAAGTTATTCTGGTTCTGAGAGAGTTAACTCGCTTCGTTCCATGGACAGATAAGGCATGAGAAACAGCCTGTTCGTCCTACAGGAGTCTTGTAGCTCAGTGGTTAGAGCACTCACCTTGCAAGCGGGAAGACCTGGGTTTGATTCCCAGGCAGGGCGAAAGGTTGGGAGAGTTTCCTTACTCCACATATCTCTGTGCACCTAGCAGTAAGTAGGAACCCGGTTGTTAGTTGATTGGCGGATCGCTTTCCGGGGATAATAATCCCTTAAAATAATAGTAATTTGGTCACTCAATCCATGACTGTTTGTGGGACGCTGCTGTGCGCAATTGGCTGCTACGTTTTGCCCACAACATATACAGTCTATTCACTTTACAGTGTACTCTGAAGCGCTTTGAGACGTCTAGAAGACGTGATATATTGTGTGCTTTCACGCAGGGTAGGTTCCAGAGTGCTTGATACGTGACATTCTGCTGCAGTTTCTTTCTATTTCAATCCAGATCAATGCTTTCAAATCCAGCCCCAAAAGTGTATAGAATTCTAGTTTTGCAGATTTAGCAAAGGTATATTAACTTGTGAACTGTGTGTGAAATTGAGCCAGGAATTGTCAATGCTATAATAAACGCTCCAAACAAAAGATGTGAGTAGTGGGTGAAATTGTTGCCTTTTGGGCCAGGAGATGTGTTGACTTTTAGGAATGAGCAGGTGGTATTTAGATGTGTTGAAATTGTGTGTTTGGATCAGGTGTGTATTTATCCAGAGTAGACTGGTAGGATCATTTGTAATGTGCAGTGTGAATAAATGACACTTTAATGAATATAGTCAGCTGTTAGGATGACCTTGCACCAGAGGCTGAGTGACCCTTAACTAACTTGTCATTTATCTCAGGATAATCTCATTCACATGACATTCTTCTTATTAATAATTGGCCCGTCGCTGCAGCTCAATAGCAGGCTTCAACATTATCATGCAAGGTTTGATCTTAGTCATTAGTAAGCAACTTAACTAAACACTTCATCAAATTAAACTGTAACCTTTTATACTGAGAACTCACAAATTCCCCATGACTTTATATGGACTAGAAAATTACTTTTCACTTTTTATTAACCCTTTCAGGCTAAGCACAGTAAACTGCAGATTTTTCATGAAATACAACGGAATATTTAAATGCTTAATTACTCAGTAATATTCTTTTGTTGAAGACATCTCAACGACGTGATAAGGCGCTATAATCAACAACAACAAGATTACATTTGTATAGTGCCTTTTACGTCGGGAGGACGTCCCAAGGCTCTGGCATTTAATCAAATAAATGCAAGGATTATTATTTTATTAAGTTCCTTCTGATCCATTCATTTTCTTTCAGTTCCTGCCCGGCGTGGTGACCTGGAGATCTTGGGATATTGCATGTTACAGTGGCTCTGTGGGAGCCTGCCCTGGGAGGACAATCTCAATGACGCCAATTATGTCAAGCAAGAAAAAATCAAGTAAGTTGACAAAGGGCAACATGTGCATAATTCTGAGGAGTTTCCTTATGGTTGAGCAAATCGTGCAAAGTTCCTTAAATTGACAGAAACGTTGAAATTGATATCCGTAGAAAGGATATTACAGCTTTCAGACGCCTCCTGTTAGTTTGAATTCTCTTAGAGCTTCGCAACATGGTGAAGAAATGCTCCGGGACACAGCCTTGTAGTGAACTTATGAAGTATTTATCAAAAATGTCTGACGATTTTCTTTTTTTTTCCCCAAAACAAAACGCTTGCCTCATCGTGCCTTCTAAATCACGAGTGGATTGGGTTTTTTTAGCTGATGCTGAAATGTGACTTTTCAGCACATAAACCGCACCCTTTCAAGCAGGAGGAGGTGATATAGAAACACAGAAACAGGAGGAGGCCATTCAGCCCCTCGAGCCTGTTCCACCATTCTATAAGTTCATGGCTGATCTGTACCTCAACTTCATTTATCCACCTTTGCCCCATATCCCTTGATACCCTGACCTAATAAATATCTATCCACCCATGTAAATGGATCCAATATCCACAGCCTTTTGGGGGAGGGAGAAAGTTCCAGATTTCCACTAGTCTTTGGGTGAAAAACCGCCTCCTGTTTTCTATTATCGGTGAGGTGCTGAACACCGCAATATTGACCAGTTTTGGAAACCATGTGAAACCATGGCTCTCGCAACCACAAAGTGACTGTTGATCTGATAACCCAAAGTCAGCCTTTGTTAGTGCATGCGAAGCGAGTCTATAGGGCACACACGTTACTAGCAAGCCAGTGGTGTAAGGGAGCGTCTTATAAACGGGGTTCTACTGTACTGAGCATTGGGATGGCCATAAAGCAGTCTGTGGTACTAATCTGTGAATTGCATTTACTGACTGACGCTGTTTCTGCTTCAGGTACAGGGCAAACCTCCCAGCTTTGATGGAGAAATGTTTTGCTTCCAAAACCAAAGGAGGTAGGAACATTTTTTGTCATTCAACTTTCAAATAGACAAATACTCCCCCGTGAACTTGTATTGCTGACGCCTTCCTTATCCCCAGCCCGCCCTGAGAGTGCTAACATGGAGTTCCACAGTTCTTGGTGCTGGTTGCTTCAGTGAAGTGCTGCCACGTGAGACTCTATCCATTCCAACCTTGGTGTGTTGAAGCCGATTGCAACAAAGACTTGCTCATATATAGCGTCTCAGAGCGCTTGATTTGTACTCTTACATGAGGACCAAATTAACTCGAGTAACAGACCAGCGATGGAACCCGGCACTTTCCTGATCGCTACTCCGAGTGCTACATTTTCCCACTGATCTGTGGCTTCTGTATAGATGGGCTCTATTCTAAGCAAATAAATACTTTCTCAGGATCAACCTTTCACATGATCTCTGCCTCTGCCAGAAATGTTCCCAGATATCCTATCAATTTACAAGGAATGCGTTTATTTAAAAAATTGCTGGATTTTCCTTTGATTTTCCCAATGACTTTCATTCGAAAAACGGTCATGCAACCTTTAATTTTATTTAATGCAGGTGAATTCTTAAAGTACTTTGAGTATGTGAAGTCGCTGAATTACAACGACGGACCGCAGTACCAGAAGCTGCGAGACATATTTCAGCAAGGACTTAAAGCCATCGGCGCCAAAGACGATGGCATTTTGTCATTGGGTGTATCCTCTAATGGAGACGCTCCAACAACGTCTAAGAGGAAGGTACAGTGTTTGCCTTTGTGTGTTGCTTCATTTCTTCTGCCTCCTGTCTCCTCTTTCTTGGACTTTGCAGTAAAGTTGTGCACTGACATCTGTTGTGTGCTGCTTTGTGGGTGAAGATCAGATGCTCTAGGATTATAATAATAATAATCATTGCATTGGATATAGCGCCTCATCACGTCTTTGAAACGTCTCAAAGCGCTTCACAGGATATAGTGTAAAGTGAATTGACTGTACAGCCAATTGCGCATTACCCCTGGAAAAGTGATCAATTTGTTTTGATAGTCACTTACAAGTTGTTTGACTCATGGGGAAAGATTGGAGGATATGAGCCCATTTCCCCTGAAACAGAAAGTTGAAGGACTACCTTAATAACTCTACCATGACCCAATAATGTGGGCAGGTTTGGTGGGTTGAATAGCTTCCTCTATGTTAGATAGCTAACGTAAATTTCTAATCTGGTTTTATAGCATAAGCTGCTGAGAGAAAGGCATGTTCCCGTGGAGTTACCTGGAGCAGGTCTAGCTGGGGGCAGTGCTTCCTAACTAGACACTGAACTGGAAGGAAAGGAACATGAACTGATAGACCATGTGAAAGGGTCCAGTAGTTCTAGTTGTGGAAATGTCCATACTTCATGCTATTGCTGATTCATGATCAGTCAGAATAATTTGCAGTTGAGCGGGACTAGTTGGTAGCTCTTTCATAGAGCCGGCACAGGCACCATGGTCTGAATGGCCTCCTTCTGTGCTGTAAGATTCAATGATGATCAGTTGACCGATCTGGGAATGTTTCAGTTTCCTCTTCTAATAACTCTTGAATATCAACTGAATGAAGCCCATGGATTCAAATTGTGAGCAGACTTTGGGCTCTTTTGACAATGACGAAGCTGTTGATAGCTGAACAACCGAATTATGTGTTCACTTCAGTTTCTATCTGTAGATCGGTGCAGTGGAAATGTTGCTGTACCTTTAAGTAAGGATGTAAGTTAGATTTGCCTGAGGCAAGAAGCTCCATTTATGTGAAGACTGATTTTTTTAATATTGCTTACATCGAAGCCATTTTAACAAAAAAAGAAAATGTCAAAAGTAGTCGCATAACGAGGCCCCAAGTAAATTGGCTGAAGATGTTTGGCCAACAAAAACGGACTATTCAAATTGAAATCATTTAAATAATTGATAAAGATCGGCTAAGAACAGACACTTAAGAGACCGTCATTTAAGCTTCAGCAGCTTCTGTGGCATGTGTCCATATCAATGAGGCAGCTGGCTAGTACAGATGGAGCACGGCCCAGGCCAGTTCCGTCAGCATATGTGTCTGGTATACAAGTGCTCTTTTGCTGCATCCATTAGACTAACTTGCGTTTAGGCTTTTAAAGGGGGATGTAATTGTTAATGGAGTTACTGTGCACCTAGCAATTTTATATACCAGTGGCATTCTTCTGAGCAGTGTGAACAGCCAGTACTGTGTTTCCAATAATGGAAGGCAGGAATCTGCCCACTTAAACACATACACACACAGCTCTGCTCACTGGCCTCTGACTGGCGATGATTTATCTTAAGATTAGAAAAGCAAAGATGAAGTAAAATGTACTATTTTACCCACAAAATGTCCAGTCAATTCACTTTGCGGTATATTCTATGAAGCGCCTTTACACGTCTCGACGACATGATAAGGCACTATAATCAAATGCAAGGATGACGATTATTATTATTTTCAAACCAAAAGCTAGTTTCATAGATGGGACTTTGAGTCAGTTGCTGTTGTACCGACAAACCAATTCTCAGCGGCAGTTATAAAACCCTACTTTGATGAGCGAGCTGTAAACTGGAACAGGCTTCCGAGGAAGATGGTGGAAGCAGAAAGTGTTGATTCTTTCAAGAACAAATTAGATAGATTTCTGTTAGGAAATAATATCTCAGGATACAATATATAGTTTGCGACACTAGTGTATGTCTAGCGATTTGTCAGGATGGTGGAAGGCAAACTGGATGGACCTTGGTCTTTCCCGTGGAAAGTTCTCATGTTTTTATATCACCATAGATTACTGTAAAAGATGTCACAGCACAGTTAAACTGTCAAATTTATAACTGCATGGGCCTTCTTACCACTTATGCTGACTGGTAATCCACTGTAGATTATCACCATGATTATATCAAAATCATGTCAACAAACCATTCTGCCCAGCAAACTATTTATTATTATACCGTATATCAAATAGGTTTTTAAGCAAGAAACTACTTATTTTTAAAGTTTCATACAGCTGGAATTTACGTAGAGGAGACAAAAAGGAAAGCTGGATAATGTAATTTCACAATGGGTTGATCAGAAAGCAAAAGTTAATTAGTTTTGACTCTTCATGGGAACTCATGACATGCCTTGAGAACCAGGCTCCCAATCTGCGGAGATGCCACTGATAATCCCTTAAAATAAAAGATTTGGTCACTCAATCTACGACTGTTTGTGGGACACTGCGTTGCGCAATTGGCTGCCGAGATTCAGTTTGTTGCCGCGATTCAGTGTGTACAATGTCCCACAAACTGTTGTGGATTGAGTGACCAATCCACATTTTTTTTTTGAAGGGATTATTACCCCCGGAAAGCGATCCGCCAATCGATTAACAACCGGGTTCCTACTTACTGCTAGGTTTAAAAAAAAACCTTGTACTTTGATTCAATTAAAATCAACGTGAGATTCAAGTATAAAATTCCAAAGTTTGATCTTATTTTGTAGGTGCTGTTTGGGCGTCTTGCTTGATATGTTGGGTTTGAATTGTATTTGTATTGTTACGAGTGTAAAAAGATTCAGTGTGCAAAGCCTGAAGAGGGAGCTCTTCAGGAAGATGTACAGTCCCTTTCCTGCAGAAAATCGTAGCTGAGTTTTGTAGACCACGAATCGTACTTTGAGAATTCTGATCATACCTTTGTACCCTTAAGGACATTTTAGGACGCGCTTTGAAGTGTTGACAAGTAATTATTTTGAGCGATTATTTCTGATTCAGCTTGTAATGTTGCAAATGATAATAATAATCCTTGCATTTGATACAGCGCCTGATCAAGTCTTCGAGACGTCTCAAAGCACTTCACAGAATATACTGTAAAGTGAACTGACTGTATATTTTGTGGGCAAAATAAAGAGAGCAAGAATAATTTATTATTTCGGGCACAAATCGAGGCAGTTCTGTAAAGCAAGGTCTTACTCTACATTCATTGTTTCAAATAGAAATCTGTGGCCCTTTTCAATTAAGCTAATTCAAATCAAATGGGATGTTTTTTCCCTTCATACCCATTTGTTTAATTGGCAAATGCTGACGATTTTGGCAGCATTAACTGAGTGAACTGCTGGTTCAAGATACCTGGTTGAAGCCCTCAATCAGTGGGAATTGGTAACTCTCAGCCAATCTCCGGCAACCATGACTTACAGGTGACCAAACGTTGAAATAATTGTTAAGTGCAGTGCTTTGTAATTATAATAATCCTGGTATTTGATATAGCGCCTTATCACGTCTTCCAGACGTCTCAAAGCGCTTCACAGGATATACTGTAAAGTGAATTGACTGTATATGTTGTGAGTGAATCGCACATCAGCGTCCAACAAACAGTCGTGGATTGAGTGACCATATTTATTCAAATTTAAAATACGAAATGGATAAAGCAGAAAAATTGTAGCTCATCTAACGAGTTGGTGCCGTAAAGAATGGATAGTGGGCACAGTGTAGTTTACTTATACTCCTCTGAACTTACTTTTGTACACGCATAGATTACTTCAATTAAATGTTTCTGACCGGGTTTCTATGTCTGGAATAGGAGGGAAAGCATTTGCTTGCATAAATGAAGCAGATGACGGCTAAGAATAATAAATAAATCCCTGGGTGTGAGCACAAGGTAATTTCATCCAAGTTTAGATCTAAATGGTGATTGCAAAGTCCAAGTAGCTAGTAATGGTCGTCTGAAAAACTCTGAGATTGAAATCACTCCGAGTGATGCTATTCTGTTTGCAGTCAGCAGCTGTTGCTTTGTCACATCAGACAGGGACTGCGAGTATGCTCTGTGTCATTGATGGAGGTGAATGTCATATCTACCATGACACCTGCTGCCTGAAACAAAATCCTAACCCAAACTATCACTTTTACGCCACACGGTGTAATTCTTAAACGTACACATGCCCCGGAGAGGCTTCAGCCTTTCATTTTAGATAACTGGTATTGAAAGCCAGCTGGCTTTTGTGGTTTGTCATCTGAACTTCTCAATGAGATTACTGCCTTGTCATTCACTCCCCCCCCCCCACTATCCAGTCTTTACGGAACACGAAGCTTGTGTGTTCAGCTAATATCATCACCACAAGTTTATTGGATGATCACGTTAATTGCTATTACAATAATCTGTACAGTTCGTGTAGGAAAATGGTGGTGGAAGTGATCCAAGTAATATAAATCGCAAGAGCAAAGCGTGAATTGTTGCCATTGTCACTTCAAAATGCAGCGAAGGTGGAATGGCGACTAATAATTTTAAAAAAAGGATTCCTTTGAAGTTGCGTCAGAGGAGAGGAATGTTTCCTCTGCCTCTAACACTTCATATGGCCACTTAATGTGAATGCTGGGTACCAAAATTGTCAAGTGTTCCATTTCCTTGTGCTAAAACCTTGTTCACCTTGAGCACAAAATCACTAGAAATTGCGCTCGACTACTTTTGCCGCAGAGTGCAGACTGGAATAGTTAATTCTGTCAGCAGGTCTCACGGTTGACAGTGTCTGGTGTGCTCTGCCCGACAATACAAATTGTTCTTTGACAGAGTCGTGTGGAGCAGGAAAGTCCCAGCGCTTTGGGACATCCTGTGACGTGAAAGGCGCTGTACAAATGTAATTTGTCGTTGCCGTTTCGTGCTTGATTGCTGGGCAGTGCTGGGTTAGCTGATCTGAGGATGAGAACATCAAACGGGGTTTATGCAGTGCCCCTCGCGCAGGGTAGCGTCCCAGAGAGATAGAGGTTGCTCAAAGTGCCCGTGGTCCAGGTTAGGTTAGGGAGAGGTGTGCAAGGCCTTCCCCCTTCCAAAAAAAATCCCTCCCGGCCTCGAGGTTGCAGGCTTATTCAGTAGGCTCCGTTACTCCTTCAGTTTGGTCCGTGGCGGAACAAAGCAGCGTTTCAAATAGTACTTTGTAATTTTAAACTTTCCTTTGACCTGTGCATCATGATTCTGATGACATATAGTAATATCAGTATCTAACTGCTGCTAATCAGGGCTACAGACAGGCGGGGGAGAATGTACCTCATATACTTAATCAGTGTAGTTTACATATGGAACTTGCCGCTCGGGAAGTGCCCTATGCCAGCTGAGGGTTATGTGCCCACTGCAGTTATTGTGTGTAATTATCAAACCAATCTGTTCAGCGCAGCAGGGTTTAGGTGGTAATCATGAGGCAGAGATGAAGGCAAAAGATGCACACTACTCTCGGTAGCTGTGAATCCTAGCTGTTGATTCATTACTGCGCATCCAAAGGAAAGCTCTTAGCAACCTGCTGTTACGTTTTCAATATAAACTCGACTATTGCAGAGATGAGCCATCGTGGCCTGTTGATTTACATCTAGCAGCTATTGGCTAAATTGATGGCATGCAAAAATGCCGGCATAAGCCGTCAAAGGGGAAACAAATTGCCAGGCTTCATTAGCAATGTAAAGCCACTTCTTCACAAGCCCTTGGAAAGTATGTAACGTGTTGAAAAATGTAAGTGCCCTATTAAGCAGCAGTTATCAAGTTAAAATAATTGCTCTGAATGGGGAGTCCAAAAGCCAGTTCTTGCTAAACATTTTAAAACTCCTCGTAGAATTTATTATTAAGTAGTAGAATGCTGTGTAGTATGCCCTGGACAATATCCAAGTGAAATGTGAATTCAACAATATTAACAATTTGGGGAAACCCAGAGGAGAATTAGCTGCTATAGGGCCAGACAGTAGCAACAGTGATCTGTATTGATCGCCTGGCTGAGTCTCCCGTTTGGCTATGGGAAAACAATTAGCTGAATAAAAACATGCCACAGTGTTTGACTAATTGCATCTTAAATCTTGACTTTATACAATGCAATACAATTTGCAGTTGTTCTGAGTGCCTTTCACGTCGGGAGGACGTCTCAAAGCGCTTGAAATCTTATTTCTTATTGACTGCTTATCTAGGCTTCCATCCCAAACTGTCTCAGCTAGTGTAAAGCTATCAAGAAAATTCAGACCTATGATTATTATTGGTTGTGTGTGTGTAGATTTGTTAGGATTCGCTTATTAATTAGAGATAAAGATTTGGGGGAATTAGACCACTGTGTACAACCTGATACCTTACATGTGTTTCTTTATTATTCTGCATGGAAATGTATATTGCGCATAATGTGATTTCATATTATTAAATAGCAATACTTTCTTTCTCGTGGGCCATTGGGGAAAATTGACCGTTGACGATGTATTGTTGAATATCTTGATTTTTTTGAATCAATATGTAAATCACACGGAGATGCACAACTGTGTGCAATTGGCACAAAATCGACTCCAGTGAGTGTATGTTCTTAGTACTTAAGCTGGCCCTCCCTGTGACTGCTCTGGATGTTATTGCCAAAAGACGTGCTGAATTGCACTGTTTTTGTATTGTAGCCTTGGCTCCAGTAAGGATCAGATGACCAAACCTTCCACTTGCCCAGAGAGAGAGAGAGAGAGAGAGACAGAAGAGTTTCCTAAGAGTCGGCTAACCAGGGTTTATTTGCGTAGAGGTGATAGAACACATGCTTGTCCTGACCTACCGCAATTATTTGGTCAGCCATCAAACAAAATTGTCCATTTAAGAAAAGGCCGTTGGACACAAAAGAAGTATGAAATTGTGTGGAAGTACTTGAATCGGATTTTGAAATGTGTTTTTTTAAAGAATTACCGAAAGACAGATGACGATGATAATGATCTGGAATGCAACATATCAGACTCCGACGCGAAAAGTGCAAAGAAACCACGGAAATCACCAAAGCCAAAAGGTAAAGACTAGCAAAGTGTCCGAGTGTATTTAGTCAGCGCATTTCTTATCTGGTTGAGTGACCAACGAGTGCTGACAGCTCTGAATGCCATTGAGATGTACTGCTAGACGCGCAGTGCCTTCAGATGAGGAATGCGGGTTCTGTTTGCCGATCGTGGCAGGTAATAAAGATGTCATTTCTCCCCGTGCAAAATGGGAAGAAGCATTTCTTCATTTCAGCATTTCAAGGACACAAACTTGCAGCGGAGAAGATGAAGAGACGGGTAAGCACAGTGAACACAACAGTCCTTAAATACAGAGAAGTATTTAATCTCTAAGATTGAAAACTTGCCACACAAAGGCTGGCAATATCCCCATTCATCCACATTCTGTTCAGGCAGAATAACGAGGGCCGCGGTTGAAATTCTGAGAAGCGACAGCTTCAGAATACAGCGCTTAGCCAGGTGGCTTCAATTTCCATTTGAGGGGAGAGAAAATGCAAGGTTTCGATTGAAATACCACCAATTTTACTCCCCCCTCCCCTTCTAAGAAGGTGCCTTAGAACGAAGGACAAAGTAATGTCAATTGTTTCAGGTTTCCAGCAAAAGGTTAAAAGAAATTCAGCCACAATCATTGAACTACATAAACTGCTCTACCCTCCTCTGTGGGTTTAACAGAACTGTGATCTTTTTATTTTCTCAAATTGTTTTAGGAAAACAGCCTGCTAGGAAAAGGCCTGCAAAGGCACCAAAGACAGTAGATATGGGTACTCAGACTTCTCCTGTTCATTCACTTCCTGCGAGAAGAAAGAAGATAAATAAATAATCCTTTCAAAAGGAAAATAATGTTTTTGTATAATTGCCCGTTTCTGTTTTTTTTTTTACTAAGTCGAACCGCGTCCGGATCAAGTTCTAAATATTGGTCTCAATAATAGATTTTTATTAAGGTTTTATGTGTTGTGCTTTTCTTTGTTGCCTCTTTCAAATAAAAACGGATACATTAAAGGTTAATATTTCTCTTTCTTTACTTACGTAATAGATTTGTTTTGGGTGTATATCTTTCTCCATTCATATGTCCCACTGTTTGGTCCACTTTTGTATCCGAGATTAATGAAGGAATAACAAATGTAATAGAGTAATTAGTTTAATTACAATTCTTTTTAAAATTGTAAACTTGGCACAATTGTAATAAAGATTCAAGTGCTTGTTTTGGTTTTGGGAGCAGGAAGTCTATATAGAGAGTGATTTTGTCTGGGATTTGAGAATGGGATTGTTTGCAGTGTTGATTGATGATGATCCTCCAGAATTCCTTCACACAATCCTGCTGTTTAGGATGGTGAAATGTAGAACTATGTTCCAAATAGTTTTGAACTTTTATTTGTAAATGATGGGTCTTTTTATTCTCCACAAAGGTGGATAGCAATATTTCTGAGAATGTGTAAACTTGGCCATAAAACTACTGCATCCGTCCATCCATTCAGTGAAACCTCTTTACATTGAGTGATTTGTTCAGATATCCAAGCCTTTTAAATTTCCCTGTGTTTGTTCACTGCGACATTTGGTATTTCCAACATTTTACGGGAAAAAGGAAATAAAGGTGAGAAAACGTAATGTTTTTTCAACAACAAAAAAAGCTGTGCATTAAAACTTGTCTCCGGGTGTTTTTTCGAAAGGACTTCAAGGAACGTTTCTTGTCCATAATTCACATAAGAAACCCCCTGTCTCCTGCGATGTGGAACTGGGACATTAACATAACACGTACGAGAAGGAGTAGGCCATTCGGCCCTTCGAGCCTCTGCCCCGCCATTCAATCATGGCTGATCTTCCAATCTAACTCCAGCTAATAACCTGACGCTGCCTTATCCCCATATCCCTTAATCCCTTTTGCAATAATGGATTGCATTCTGAATAATGTGTAAGTAATGTCCGTTTTGCAGCACATAACAAAATCTTAATATTGTGACACTGCCGGTAATGACCCAGACTTTCATTTGAAGACAAAAGTATTGTGATCTGAGACCTTCTTCAGCCAACTCAACCTAATTTAACGTATTTACGAACAGAACAATTAAATAACAAATCCGAAAGTGTACAGTGCGCATATTATGAGAATTGAAAGATTCTCAAAACGATGCCTAACAAAAAGTCACAAAAATCTTTCATATGGAACCGAAAGTGAGCAAAGTGTCAGATCCCATGATGAAATGCCATCACTGAGCTTGGAAGGAAACCCCCGGCCTCTCCAGGCGTTTGCAAAATGAAGAATTCTTGTCCTATATTCTAAAAACTGTCCTTGATCTTGAGTCCTGCTCCTCAACTGTACCGTGTTTTGAAGAACATTCAAAACTCCCTTCAGTTCGACCTGAGCAGAATCCATTGGGATCTCAGAGGGAGGCGTATAAATGGGATTCAGCTACCAACCGTGATCCAGTAAAGAGCAGAACACACCGGACGGACATCGCTGTTCTGTTCAGGCACAGTATTATAAGTACTTAGAGCTGCAAACCAGCGTTGCGGGAAGGGTTTCAAAGCTTAAAAGTCTGGTGGTATCCTGAGGATTGAGAGTAATTGATAATCTGGGCATTTTGGTTGCCAATCTTGAGATTTTTACAACCCTCCGTAGATCAAGGCAACTCAACAACTTGCATTTATGTAGCACCCCTCACTGGGCAGCCTCCCGGTCTGCTTAAAAACTCAGTGATGTACTGCATTTAAAAACAGCTGATAAATTTCAAACGACAGTGTCCTGATGAGAACAGTGGTGTTTCTAAAAAAAAAACTCCGCTATCTAATGTCAGGGTTAATCTGGACTGTGATTGTGTTGGAGGAAGTTTTATATCTGCTGCCCATAACTCGAGAACAGAATGTTTGCTCTTATTGATATTTTGTTCACATCCCGAGAGATCTCCTATAGCTTCTAATCTCCGCTCACAGGCGTGAAAATCTGTGGTGACATTTATTGTCGCAGCAGGAAAACACTTGTCAACAAAGTGCTGATCTCTTTACTATCTCCGCTTTTTTAAAATAAAAGAAAATAAACGATTGCTTTATCCTGGCTCGAGAGTACTTCTGTTGCTCAACTTGCTCACTATCATAATTTGGATGACGTGAGCTCCAGCAGGGACGAGATCTGTCTGAGGTCTGTCTGGTTGTTTGATCACCTGTGGGCTCAAGTGAAAATGGACCGAGCTGGGCATCAGCTACTAAACACTCATTTTGGTGTCCTACCTACTCTGCGGCCTGGGGTTGGGAGGGTGCCAGTTGATGATGCTAATTCGCTGCAGATTGAATTCAGACGAGTGAAATCTACCAGTAATTGAATGATTTATTTTACAGGAGAACTTTTACTTGCCTGTCAAGCGCAAGTTTTGTCGTTTTAACCTGCTCTTCCGAAAGCAAGCTGAGAACCAGCTTAAGGGTATCGTGTACATCAGTTGTGTAGATTGACACGCCCAGCATTGCTGACTACGTCACGCAATAACAAGGGATCACAGAAACACCATTGATTAAGGTTAAAGCAATTGCATCTGAAGAGTTTTTCCCCTGTAATTGGCCTAATTGTTTTAGTCAATTGGTGTTATTCATTCCTAGTTTGATTATTGTTTAAATGTTTTGGCGTTAACAGTAATAATTGATTACTGCCAACTGACTACCGCCAGTGATAATGTGCCACAATACTAATAGTAATTCTTGCATTTGATATAGCACCTTATCATGTCGTTGAGACAATAACAAAATTACATTTGTGAGGCGCCTTTCACATCGGGAGGACGTCCCCAGGCGCTGGACAGTCAGTGTTTCGGACCCAATCTGGGGATCGAGGAGGTGGAGAGCAGGGGGGAAGGAGGGTGACCGAAGGCACAGTCACAGAGGAGGGTCTTGAGATGAGTCTTGAAGGAGGCAAAGGAGGGGGCGAGGCGGAGGGACTGCGGAATGGAGTTCCAGAATGTGGGGGCAGAGTGTCAAAAGGCCCCCCAGCCTGTCCATCAATGTCTCAAAGCTCTTCATGGGATATACTGTGAAATGAATTGACTGTAAATTTTGCGTGTTAAACAATTGCTAGAAACGTGGTAAGTTTACCCCCAACAACAGCCAAATTACATTTGTACAGCACCTTTCACATCGGGAGCTGTTACACTGTCAAACCAATGATTGGATGTGATGATGCCTTCAGATGAATGAAATCCCCAAGAATCGTTCATGTGAAGAAACCCCTTCATCCCAGTATCCATCTGACTGCCTTACCATTTACAGCCTCCAGCTGTTTCTCAAAGGGAATAAGTGGTGAAGTCTTTCAGAATAAGTCTGCCTGGTACCCGATGGTTTAGGAATTGTATGTGGAAAGACAAAAGCCCATTCAGCCCATCGAGTGTGTAAGCGCATCTACACTTTGTGTTAACACGTTTCGCCCTCAAATATACAGTCAATTCACTTTACAGTGTGTTCTGTGAAGCGCTTTGGGACGTCCTCCCAACGTGAAAAGCGCTATATCAAATGCAAGGATTATTATTACTATTGCCACCGACTCCTCAATTTACACGTGAGTGTTCGTGGATGCTATATGTATTGGAAAGCTCACCGGACTGAATTGGGGAATTAAACAGGTGCTATCAGTTCATTAATGCATTGTACCTTTCATTATAATCCTTACATTTGGTAGAGCGTCTTTCACGTCAAGTGGACGTCGCAACGCGCTTTGCAGAATATGCTGTAAAGCAGAGTGACTGTATTTTGTGGGAGAACTCGGCAGCCAGGTTGTGCACTGTAACATCCTACAAGCAGCCATAAAGTGAATGACCGATTTTATTTACCAAATTCAGGGCACTGGGAGAAACTCCCTTCTTTCGGAAGAAAGCAGTTATGCTTACAAAATGATAAAAGCGAAGGGTTGCTTAAAATTATTCTTTTCTAATTGCCTCTTGACACAGACTAACTTATTGCAATCGAAAAGAGCGAATTAAATCTGCCACCAAAAATGCGGTTCAATGAGAGAAAAAAAAAGCAAAGCGATGTTCTGTTATACTGGAGGACAATTGCTCGAGGTCGCTCTTTGAAACCTGGCATAATGTTTGAATGTCTCGACAGATGCAGAGTTAAAATAGCTTCATTCTGGGGCGCTGTCAGCCCTCAACCTAATGAACACCAGAAATGCCGGAGTGATTTGGCCAGAGTTAAAGGTGGTCCAAAAAGGAGTATTCAATTTTCCATCTTGACTGACCAGATTGTGCAGAGAGTAGGGAATGGAATCACACACTGCCATCTGTTAGGTAGGGATCAAATAATAGGTTTTCAAGTCCCTAATTAAACAAAATTGTCTTCTCTCTGCCAGCTCTGACCACACAGTATTAATTTTGGCCTGAGATTACCTTCCATTGGACCAGCCAATGACAGATGGTGGGATGTTGTCACGCCTGGAGAGAAAGTCAACTTAAACGTCCGTCCCAAAGTCAGGTATAAAAGTCAAACATGAACTGCTGACAGAGTGGATGCATTGAAGGTTATTAATGTATATTTGCCTGGGTTTCGCATGTTTCACTTACTTAAAATGCTATTAATTACCTACCTTTACACTGTGCATGATATCTATCGTAATAATAATCGTTGAATGTGTCAACTTAGCCCCATACTTAACAGTATCCAAACCAGTTTGAGAGTTTCACCTTTGTATGGGAATTTCCTTGTGTCTGGAAAATAATAATAATAATCCTTACATTTGATATAGAGCCTTATCACGCCTGTGAGACGTCTCAAAGCGCTTTACAGAATATACTGTAAAGTGAATTAACTGTATTTTGTGAGCGAAACGCGGCAGCCAATTGCGCACAGCAGCGTCCCACAAACAGTCGTGGATTGAGTGTCCAATATATATATTTTTTTGTCTCTAGTGGCAGAAGTCAGGACCAGCAATGCTTACAGTCAATCTCTTGTTTTGTTGTTCGGTGTGTTTTATAATGTCACTTTGAAGTGATATTTTCCATCAGGGCAGGTGCTTTTTTTTTTTAACATGAAAAAGAGATTCATCCCCTGTAGCTTTGATCACTTAGAGGACGGTTTAATTGAGTTTGCTATTGATTGATTTTTGTGATGTTAAAAATCATGGCTCTGCTCATCAGCCATGCATTTCCATTCATTATTGCTGAAATGACTGAACTTT